AATAGATAAATTTTACAAAGTTAATATTTCTGCGTGCTCTCGAATGAAAGCACCCGCTTCAGCTTACGTTTCAGTATAAGCTGAAAGAGTAGAGGTGAATGATACATGATCGCAAGATAAAATGAATGTTAATTAAAGGATTAAAATTCATGCACGGAAAAAAAAGATATGCGTATAAATGGTATAAATGTGTCAACCGCGGGGATGGTTTATCATCCTAGAGAAATGGGTTATCATGTGTTTGTATGGATTAATTTGTATAATTTCGTTTTTGTGTGTGTGTGTGCGAGTGTGGGTGGGTGCACAAATAAGTAATTGTTCCGAATGTTTTTTTTTCCCTCGTCATATACTATTAGGGAAAAAAAAGAAAAAAAAACTAACATGCGAAGTACTCAAGGTTAATAGATTTATTTTTAAGTTACAAATGGAAGCTATACGGAAGGTAATTGTGTCAATACCTATATATATTTTATATGATCGGCTCTAGTTATATCTATACACACAATATAACCTGCAGACTATGTCTATTAAAATATTTAGTGTAATTTCTCTTCGTGTAAAAAAGGGCGAAACAAACTTGCCTCCGTATGAGCATTCATGACATTCATGACATTCATGACATTTATGACATTTATGACATTTTCTAAATACATATATGTAATGACGTTGACAGAGTCTCGTGATATCACAAAAAGATTTTCAAGGCAATTTTGTAAAATTGTTTCTCTAGAAACTAAATTAATTTAATCAGATTAGAACTAATTGAAGAGTTTCAATACATGAAAAAGTTCTATATCTTAATAGGTTAAAATTTTTCTGTTAAAAAAATTTTAGATATGTCTAGTATCCTTTGGTTTTAATTAACACATACACTGTTAACTAAAAAGAATCAAATTGCAACGACTTGACACCAAAAATGTGGATCAAATAAAAAATTGATCCACATTTTTCGCATTATTTTGAACCCAAAATGAAAAATTTTTGTATAAATTTGATACTTTAAAGAAAACTGTGTATTAGGATAATAAATTTTATCAGTTTTATTACTCCATGTTTCGTGTATAAAATATAAATACATTGTGTATGTACACAAGAAAGTCATAAATGCGAGCATAAATGTAAGTTCGTGTACGTAAATAACATAAAATATTAAATTCAAATATACATTATGGAATTAAGGTGTATCAAGTCCCTTGATCACTCTTTTACTCCGTTAGACTCTGTATTATTACACTAAAGTACTGTCATTTTTATTTTCATTATAGAGCATTTATTTTAATAGCCTATTCTGCAGCATGTTTTCTTTTTTATTTCAGGGTTACCACAAAAATTTAATTTCGTTTTTCCCTGAACAAAAAAGAATATTCTGATTTACTCTAAAAATTATTAGATACTCAAAAAAATGTTCTGACATTTATTTACAAATTTCTTCAAAAGTAAAATTAACATCAACAACTTCTTTTCTAAATAAATATTTAATCACTGTTATTTTTCCATAGAAATTAAAATTCTTCAACAGATTCAAATTCAAACCTTTTTGAAATTCAATAACTTATAAGAATATTATTATAAATGAAGAAATCGATTACGCCGAGTCGGAGTAATCGATTTCCTCATGTTTTAATAATAATTTAAGATAACCCAGTGAATTAATAATAAAATAAAATTAATTCTTAGAAGAATTATTAGTTAAAAGTACGAAAAATTCTGATTTTCAAAGATTTGAATTCGAAACCTTTTCAAAATTCAATTATTTCTAAATATTCCCCCCTAATGCTTTTAATATTTAATTATTGACTAAAATTTTAAATGAAATTCATCTTTAAATCAATTTTTATTAAAAATTTCTACTAAAGTTCAATTATTTAAATAGAAAAAAAATTATTTATTGAATAATTGAAGGTTTCTTAGAATTTAATTTTTACAAAGAATTTTATTAACAATTTTTTTAAATTATCAATTTCTTTTAAGGAATTTAATTAATATTTTACTGAAATTTTTCATATTAAAGAAATTTTATAACAATTTTTGAAAATAATTGAAAACTTTTTGAAGAATTTTATTAAAATTTTTTAAAATAATTGAATTCCTGAGAAGAATTTTTTATTATTTTTAAAAATAATTGAATTGTTGGGAAGTTTATTAATTCTTTTTAAATAATTGAATTCTTGGAAAGAATTTTATAAAAATTTCTGAAAATAATTGAAATTCTGCGAATAATTTTATTATCTGTGAAAATAATGGAATTTTGCCGAAGAATTTCATTAAAATTTTCGAAAACAATTAAATTCTTTCAAGAAATATATAATTAAAAATGAAATTGGAAAGAATGATTAAATACTAATAAACAAATTATATCAAACTCATTTTAAATATAATTACATTTTTCGCAGATATCTTTTAAAATTGTATTAAAAATAATTGAAACCCTGCGATGAGTTTAAATATTTATAAAAATAATTGAATTCTAAAATGGAATATTATTAAAATTTTTAAAAATAATTGAATTCTTGCGAAGAATGTTATTAAATTTTTTTTAAATAATTGAAATTTTCCCAAGAATTTTATTAAAATTTTTGAAAATAATTGAAATTTGGAAAAATTTTGTTAAATTATTTAAAAATAATTATTGAATTGCTGCAACGAATTTTATTAAAATTTTTTGGATAATAATTGAATTCCTGCGAAGAATTTTTAAAAAAATTTGAAAATAATTTAATTTTTAGAAGGTACTTTTATTAGTTTTCAAAAGAATTGATTTTTTATGATGAATTTTGATATTTATCGAAATAATTGAATTTTGGAAAAAGAATTTTATTAAATTTCCTTAAAATAATTGATTTTATGTGGAACAAATTTTTGTTTATCAAGATAATTGGATTTTTTTGCAGAATTACTTACAAATTTTTGAAAATAATTAATTTCCTGTGACAAATGAAAAGTTATTTATAAAAATAATTGAAGTATTGCAACGAATTTTATTCTTTTATTGAATAATGGAATGTTTCTTAAATTTGAATTTATTTAAATCTTAAATTCATTTAAAATTGTATTAAAAATATGGAAAATTCTGCTATGAAAATAATTGAATTCCTAAATTAAATTTTATCATTTATAAAAATAATTGAATGTTTACGTAGAGTTGCATCAAAAAATTTTTTTTCAATAATTAAATTATTTGATAAATTTTATGACAATAGTAAATATTGAAAATCATTGAATTGCGAAAAAATTTTGAAAATAATTGAAATTTTGCAAAGAATTTTATTTAAATTTTTGAAAATAATTGAATTTCTATCGAAAAATTTTGCTATTTATAAAGATAATTGAAATCATAATGAGAATTTTTAAAAAAATTTGGAAAATAATTCAATTTTTGCAAAGAATTTTGCTATTTATAAAGATAATTGAAATCTTGAAAAGAATTTTACTAACATTTTTAAAAAATAATTGAATTTGTTCGAAGAATTTTATTACTTTTGAAATAATTGAATAATATTAAAAAAATGCATTCTAGTCAGAATTAGAAAAAAATTTTGAAGGTTTCCTATTAAAATTCGTGGTAGTTTCATAGTTTATGAGGCAAACAAAAAAGAAAAAAGTCATAAAAAATTCAGAGTTTTCTTATGAATTCTACAAATTTAATTTTTTCCAGCGCTTTTAATAAAAATCACTGACTTTTCCCTGATTTTCCTGACCAATTCTACTTTCCCTGACTTTTCCCTGAATTCCCTGATTTCCCTGAGTTGTGGCAACCCTGTATTTCTTTATGAAACCAAGAAAAAAAAATGGATTCTTTATGAAATAGAAATTAATACTGCAGCATGTTTTTTTTATTTCTTTATGAAACTAAAAAAAGAATTCTTTATGAAATAGAAATTAATAACACTAATAACACTAATATAAATAATGACACTTTAATGACACTAATAGCATTAATAAAATTAATAATAAAATAACGAAAATGTTTAAATACTTGATATTTGTTGCTTTGTTAATCCACACACACACAGCGGATTTTATATTGATGATGCGGGTAAAGAGTTAATATGATTAATATTTAAAAAATAAATGTTCAGTGTTATTCATGAAAATTTAAAGGGACATCAAATGTTGCATTGACGTGAACAATCATTGATTTGTATGCCCTTGTTCTAGAATTGGAAAAAATTTCAAATAAACAAGCGGGACAATGCATTTTTTAAGTCTTGTGATTAAAATCCATTAAGCACTATAATAATGTATGCAAATGCTTAAGTATAGCGTACAATACATAATTGTGTAAGTACAATTTTCACAAGTACTTTAACTCCGGAAGCGTAAGTACAAAGTCGTTATGTAACACTTGATATAGATTATGTGAATGAAATGTAAACAACCAAGTGTTCGATATTCATATATATCATTTACGTTTCATTACTTTGTGTCAATACGTTCATTGTACAACTGCCCTTAAAGTTCATATATCAATATTTATAAAAAAAAAGTTTCTTTTTTTAATTCTTCATTGTGTTTATTTTGTTTGCTATTTACTTTTTTCCAGTTTGTTTAACTGAAAATTTGACTCTCATCGTAATCGAAACTATTATTACACTATTCGTCAAACATTGCATATAAACCTTTTAAAGTTTTCTTAACGCTTTAAAAAAAAAAAAAAAAAAAAAAAAAAAAAATTATATGCGGAAGAGGCGAATTTTTGTTGTGCTCAATTTTAAAATTTTCATTTAATTATAATTTCTTTTATAATATAATAAATTTGAAAGATGAAATGTTGTCGTAAAAGGATAAATCGGGGGCGAATTGAACAATGACATTGTAAAAAGTGTATATTTGGAATTACAGAGAATTGTTACAACATTGACCTCGACAATGAATTATTCGATAAAAGATAAGTGACACATTATGGATAAGCGAACACATAATGTCGTGACATTGACAACTAGTAGGTGGAGAGTAAACTATTAGCGAACTATTATTTTATAAAATAAAAAGAGACTTACTCAAAGAGAGAAATTTGATAGAAATTAATAATCTCCTAAGGTTGTAATATTATGATGATGATGATGATGACGACAATTCGTCAATGAACAGTTGTATAACTATTTCTTTAAATACAATAAAATTAGCGTGATAATTTGCTAATTGCTAATTTTCAAGTTTTGAATGTTCGATAAAGATTTTCTCTTTTTTTGTGAAGAAAAAAAAAATGTTGAAAACACCTATAATAGTAGTAGTGTGAAACCCTAGCGACCGACGCTCGCGCGGGACGAACTGAACTCGAACGAACTGATCTGCCGGGTATATTCCTTCCCGGCTCCGTTTTCCGACCCGAACACATCGTCGCGCAACCTCGGAAAATTTATGCCGCCCTGGATCCCTTCGAATCTTCACCCCCTTGCCCCTTTCTCCATCTCCACCCACCCACGCTCGCTCTCTCACCCACCCCCTTAAACTCTGTCCATGAACAGCTCGATTCGCACCCTCTAGCAAAGAAAAAGCAGAGGAGCAGGATCGAAATTCGTGGCTCGTTTTTGAGATATTAGAAGGTGAACCATCTTTTTTACCCCTTTTCATCACTTTTCTTGCACTTGTGATTTAGTGATGTGTGTGTGTGATAAATATCGAGAGGGATATGTAGAATTCTGTAAAAATTGTTGAAATTGAAAGAATGAAAATTTTATTTTAATAAATTAGTAAAATTTATATACTCTAGCACTCTTAGGCTTCGTTCATACCTACGAAAACTTACTACAGTGGAACCTCGATTTTTCGAACCTGTGTTATCAGAATTCTCTGTAATTCGAACTGTAAATCATTTTATCCGAACTTTTACTATCCGAACTTTTTCGTTAACTTAAAGACGAATTATTTTCAATTTTTTACATCTATTGGTACATATATCTCAAAAATATTTTTAAAAATTTATTATCTAACCACTGATTTTTTATGTAAATACCTAAAAATATAAATGCCATTTAATAAAAATAATTTAAACAAGTTGATCATTTCATGATCATTTAGCTTCCTCAATACAATATATACCTATTGTATAATTTTTTATTTTAGAATAATTATTTAAAAGTGTTAAGATACACATGCTAGTGTTCAGTCGGGTTTAGTCCCTACTAGAACTCTGGTAATTTTCAGATGATTAGATTTGTTAAATTTGGAAGAAATAAATTTTTATTTTCGTTTTTACCAATTTTGATTGTCTGATGGCGATCGGGTGAGGGTGCTACTACTAAAAAATGGAAATAAAATTCTCTATTCTTCAGGATTGTGTAGGGTTTAGTCCCTACTAGAACTCTGGTAATTTTCAGATGATTAGATTGAATAAATTTGGATGAAATAAATTTTTATTTTCGTTTTTACCAAATTTTGATTGTCTGATGGCGTACGGGTGGACCTGCTACTACTAAAAAATGGAAATAAAATTCTCTATTCTTCAGGATTGTGTAGGGTTTAGTCCCTACTAGAACTCTGGTAATTTTCAGATGATTAGATTGAATAAATTTGGATGAAATAAATTTTTATTTTCGTTTTTACCAAATTTTGATTGTCTGATGGCGTACGGGTGGACCTGCTACTACTAAAAAATGGAAATAAAATTCTCTATTCTTCAGGATTGTGTAGGGTTTAGTCCCTACTAGAACTCTGGTAATTTTCAGATGATTAGATTGAATAAATTTGGATGAAATAAATTTTTATTTTCGTTTTTACCAAATTTTGATTGTCTGATGGCGTACGGGTGGACCTGCTACTACTAAAAAATTGAAATAAAATTCTCTATTCTTCAGGATTGTGTAGGGTTCAGTCCCTACTAGAACTCTGGTAATTTTCAGATGATTAGATTAAATAAATTTGGATGAAATAAATTTTTATTTTCGTTTTTACCAAATTTTGATTGTCTGATGGCGTACGGGTGAGGGTGCTACTACTAAAAAATGGAAATAAAATTCTCTATTCTTCAGGATTGTGTAGGGTTTAGTCCCTACTAGAACTCTGGTAATTTTCAGATGATTAGATTAAATAAATTTGGATAAAATACATTTTTATTTTCGTTTTTACCAAATTTTAAGTGTCTGATGGCGTACGGGTTTACCTGCTACTACTAAAAAATTGAAATGAAATTCTCTATTCTTCAGGATTGTATAGGGTTCAGTCCCTACTAGAACTCTGGTAATTTTCAGATGATTAGATTAAATAAATTTGGATAAAATACATTTTTATTTTCGTTTTTACCAAATTTTAAGTGTCTGATGGCGTACGGGTTTACCTGCTACTACTAAAAAATTGAAATGAAATTCTCTATTCTTCAGGATTGTATAGGGTTCAGTCCCTACTAGAACTCTGGTAATTTTCAGATGATTAGATTAAATAAATTTGGATGAAATAAATTTTTATTTTCGTTTTTACCAATTTTGATTGTCTGATGGCGTTCGGGTGAGGGTGCTACTACTAAAAAATGGAAATAAAATTCTCTATTCTTCAGGATTGTGTAAAGTTTAGTCCCTACTAGAACTCTGGTAATTTTCAGATGATTAGATTAAATAAATTTGGTTAAAATAAATTTTTATTTTCGTTTTTACCAAATTTTAATTGTCTGATGGCGTACGGGTGGACCTGCTACTACTAAAAAATTGAAATGAAATTCTCTATTCTTCAGGATTGTGTAGGGTTCAGTCCCTACTAGAACTCTGGTAATTTTCAGATGATTATATTAAATAAATGTAAGAATTTAATTATTTTCAATAAAATTTAAATAAGATTCGTGGTACAAAATTTAATTATTTTAAAAAATTTGTCGAAATTTAATTTTTTCAATATTTACTAGGTATTTAAATAAAATTTCCAAAAGAATGAATGAATAAACGAATTTTGTAATAAAATTTTCTGAAAGAATTCAATTATTTTTATAAATAATAAAATTTTCATAGGAATTCAATTATTTTAAACACAATTATCATAAAATTTTTCGTTAAAAATTAATTATTTGAAAAGATTTTTATAAAATTCTTCACAAGAATTTAATTATTCTTATGACTAATAAAATTCTTGCCAGGAATTCAATTATTCTAAAAAATGTTGATATAAATTATTTATTAAAATTTAATAATTATTTTCAATACATTTTTAATAAAATTTCTTAAAAGAATTTAAATATTTTGAACAATTGTAATGAAACTCTTCGTAAAAATTCAATTATTTTCAAAAAATTTTGACAAAACTGTGCGCGGAAATTTAGTTAATTTAAAAAATTTGTCAAAATTCAAAGAATTCAATTATTAAAAAAAATGTTTAGTAAAATTCTTTGAAAACATTTAATTATTTTTATAAATAATATAATTCTAACAGGAATTCAATTATTTTTATAAATAATAAAATTCTTCTCAGGCATTCAATTATTCAAAAAAATTGTAATATAATTTGTTGATTAGAATTGAATAATTGTTTTTAATACATTTTTAATTAAATTTCTTGAAAGTATTTAATTATTTTCAATAATTTCAATCACATTCTTCGTAACAATTCAATTATTATCAAAAAAATGTTATTAAATTTGTTCGTAGAAATTGAATTAATTTAAAAACGTTTAATGAATTCAATTATTTTCAATATTTACTATTTAAATAAAATTCCTCAAAAGAATTAAAAAAAATTTTTTTTATTAAAATTCGTCCCAAGAATTCAATTATATTCATAAATTATAAAATTCTTCTTAAAAATTTTAAGAAATATTTAATTATTTATTTTTGTATTTAAATAATTGAATGCACGTGGAACTTTCTAATAAAAATTGATTTAAAATTGAATTTTAGTTAAAATTTTAGATAATAATTGAATATTAGAAGCGTTATTGTGTGAATTTTTAGAATTAATTAAATTTTAAAGGAGTTTTATATTGAGATCTTTGAAAATTTTAATTGTTGTAAAACTGTAATAATATTTAAATGTTTATTTTTGATATAAATTGATTAAAGTGTTGAAGAATTTTATTTAAAAATTTCAACAACAAATTATGATTTGAACTGAATTACAGTTATGTAATTTTTAGAAATATAGTTAAATTTTTGTAATTTTTTTTTTCAAATTGCAGATGTCTGTTTTTTGAAAGATGATGCAGAGCAGCTCTTGGAGAGGAGATTGGATACAGGATGGAGGATGAAAAAAAGGTAGTTCCTGCATACTTTTTTATAACATTATTTTGATGACAACACCCATAAGGACAGCAAGAAGGATGGAACTGGCAGAGAAGTGTAATCAAGAGTCAGGGATCTTTGAGGGTGGTCTGCTGTGAATCCCATCGCCTCAACGTGGGACTTCACCGATCGGTGAGTCCAAAAAAAAAATGAGTTACTTAATTCCTTCTCTGTTTATCACAGTTCAATTCATTTTATATAAAATCAGTTGCAATTAATACGTATATTAAAAATGCATTTTTTTAGATTTTCTTAAATTTATTAATTTTTTCCTACTATTATAGAAAAATTTATTAATTGATGAATTAATTCATTAATTGAATAACGAATTTTGTAATTAATTGATGAATTAATTTATTACTTAAATAACGAATTAATTAATTAATTGGTGAATTAATTTACTGATTAAATAACGAATTAATTAATTAGTTGGTAAATTAATTTATTAATTAATTCATACAATGCAGTGAATTAAAAATGTTTAAACAGAGAAGTAATTCTAACAACATAGTGACACCATTGACAAAAAGTATTATTTCGTAGAATTTTCTATTACTACGTAAATTAATAATTTTGTCAGTGTTTTTTCATTGTTTTTAATTTCTATACGTTCGAATGTCCTTTATATTGTTGAATATTTGATATTTTAACATTTTTTTTTATAAATAGAAAATATTTTTATAAAAGTAAATTATTTTTATCCACAAGTTTTGAATGTTGAAATGAAGAAAAAATTTATTTAAAATATTTTCATAATTTCTTATTTACAATAAAAGAAACCGAAATTAATTAATTTTTATGTACTTGAAGTCTCGGACCTATTTTACATTTTTGTCTTTTTCGTGCATTTGGATCACCAAGCAATTTTAATATTTTTATATTTGAACCTGTTTACACCGCAAATGGTAAAATTAAGCTGGAGAAACAAAGGAATAGTTAAATTGGCGCCTGCGCAGCACAGAATTTAATTGTTGAAAGCAGTGCTGCGCATGCGCGGATTTAACTTTTCTTCTGCACCTCCAGTTTCATTTCCCCTCAACGGTGTAAACTGGTTCACAGTGTTGCTAAAATTATAGTCATAAAATTTTAATTTAAAGAAGCAATAAATAAATTTCGTTCATTTCGGCGTTCGGAAC